AAGACTTCTATTAAAGAAGTGAAATCATAATTGATGAGAGGAAAGAAATATTAGGCAACTTTTGTGTAAGTGGTAAGAACAGTGGCAACACAGAAAGAGGCAGAAATGTTGAGGGTTGTAAAATAAACTGACCAGGGGTGAATCATGAGCTAATTGCTTAAGTTTTTAAGCCTCATTTTCCTCATCTATGCAACTGAAATATCAATACATAATTCAGAAATATAATGAGAAGTACATGAAGTAATATAAATACCCCAATGTCATACATGGTTTATATCACACATGTTGTTTACCTTTTCCTTCATTTCTTTTTGAGTGAAGCGTTAGCTTACAAATTCCTTTAATTGTCACACATATATAACCAAGTTAAATAAACAAATGAAACAAAACAAAAGGTACAACATAAATTTAATGAGTTAATGATCAGGTAAAACTTCAATTCAGACAACTTGTGAATTAAAAATAAATTATTCTGATGATAGATTGGCTAGCTTACAGCATTTCTTAACACTGATTACTAACATTTCTTCTTGCACTGAAAAAATATAGTCAAATGACTACTTTATTTCTTTGGTACTACTGAATAAAAAATCCCGCATATTCTTTGTGGTGTTCTCTCAGCAGAGTAAGAAAAGATACTCTTATAGATAAAGTACAATTTCCTCCACAAGTTCAAATTTTCTCGTAGTGAATTCAGAATACGACATGCTATAAACTTACCTTAGTTGACACAGATGAATCTCTTGTCTATTTTAGGATGGCAAGTTTATTGAAAGATGGGAATTCTTCATTATTGTAGATCTTCAAGCATACACTAAATTATTCCTTAATTGGAATATGAAAGAAGATATATTAGCACGAGAATGGGTCTCAGTGAATTTCACTGCCAACTTGAAGATTTCATTCACTTTAGCCCTGCTCTTCTCAACTGGAATTCTGTATGTGAAAGATGTAATTTTAAAGCTAAAGTATGCTCTAGTATTTTTATACTAATCAAATTATCGTATGCTACAAGAGAAGTTATAACCTAAAGAAAGAAAACAGAGTAACAACAAATAGCCTATAACCAGTCTAAAAATGATTGGTATGCTCTCTTCAAACCAAGGCAACATGAATTCACTGACCATCAGGTCTGAGCGTCCTTCAGATTTGTTTTAGGCTGAACCAGGAAGAATTTTTCCCTGAGGCAGTCACTCTGCTAATTCTTCCGCAGCACATAAATCTGAAATAAAATGCAGAGAATTATAAACCAGTAATTCAAATACACTTTAGGCTAATTTGCTAAAAAAAAATATATAAAGTCTCAAAATCTCTGAGAATATTCTACACATTTGGAAAGAGAGTGAGCTTTAAATATCCACTTAAATCATCAGGGATGCAAGGGGAAGGAGATCTTTTTTACCACAGGAAAGCAATCTGGGGCTTCTGAATGCAGATTTAACTTCTTAATTCTGGCTAAGACTAAAAAGTCAACAAAAAGTGTTCTGAAATTCCTGAAAAATCTAACACACTAAGTCTGAGCAATCATTTATATAAAGCTTATGCTCAAAGGGAATCTCATTTGGAAGAGCAGAATATAAACTTATGAGGCAATGCAGGATTTAATAGGTCTTTCAAAGCTCAAAGTAATCATATTCCCAGATGCATTTCTACACAGATCTTCGCTAAATGGCACTAACTGGCTGTCCACCTTAATGGCCCTGGTGCCTCTGGGAGTTCTCTTGTCCTAACTTTACTTTCCATCTTTGTGTTAGCCTGGCTTAGGCACTGTTTCTCTGGAGGTCCCTAAATGCTACACTCAGGCAAAAGCAGCTCAGAAAACCTTTCTGACTCTCTACTCATCTAACTATCTGAAGAATAGAAGGAAAAAAATATATAGTCTGGAAAAATATCAGGTCAGCCATCAGGAAATCTGAGATAAGACAGAGAGAACCAAAGACAGACATTTACCATCTGTATATGGCTCACTATCAACATTAACCTAGGTGTGAAGAATTTGTTGTTAGGAGCCATTGAGTCGATTTTCTGCACATAACGACTCCATGTGACAAAGCAGAACTGCCCCGTGGGCTTTTCTATGCTTTAATCTTTATGGAAGCAGAACCCCAGGTCTTTCTCCCTCGAAGCTGCTTGGTGTGTTTGAACTGCCGACTTTTCTGATAGCAGTCAAGTACGTGACTGTTGCACCACCAGGCCATCTTGTGAAGAAGTAGATGTACCAATAATCAGTGACCTGCAAGATCATGACTGAAACTAGATTATTTGTGGCCAGAGACTAATATTGCCGGAACAGACAGTTGGGGGACTGGAGAAGAAAGAAGAGAAGAGAAAGGCAGGGAGAGGAGAGGAGAGGATGGGAGGGGAGCAGAGGGGATGGGAGGAGAGGGGAGAATAAAAGAAATGGCATTCTTTGCCCATTGTGCTTGGCAAGAGGAAAAGGTATACCATTAAGGTAAAAAAAAAAAAAAAAGAAAGAAACAAAGGGAAAAATCGGAAGAAATCAACAAAATGCAGTAAAGTTTTTATTCTGTTTGCTGTTCGGTTCTCTC